TTTTTTTTTTTTTTAGCTGAGCCATCCCGCCACCTGTTGGCAGCTCAGGGCTGCTCAGCTCGGGCTGACTCGAACCACTGTTGCTCAGAGCTCAAACTCTTGAGCGAGCTCTTAACCAACTGAGCCACTCAGCCGGCCCTGCCTATTTTTTTTTAATTATAAAAATTTCTAAGTTATCATTTTATATAATTTATGCATTTTTATGTATTAATAAATGTAAGAATTTAATACATGCATTAGTTATTTTTATGAAATTCCTATTTTAGAGACTGGTGAGAGAGACCTTCTAAATACTAAAATTAATATTTTAGAAGACTGGTGAATCTTCTAAGATTCAAGACTTAGAAAAGAAAGCTTTGACTAGATAATGTAGCAAAAGCAATGGGGTATAAAAACAAACCATATTCTTGATGGTGATTTAACTGTAGACTTTCAGGAAAAATGGGCCTAAACTAGTCATCACTATACTAATACATACTTTGCTATATTCTACACTGCAGTTATATAAAGGAGCTGTTGAGTAATAACCAGCATTGTTGACAGTGGGCCACTTACAGACAATTTTTATAAATGTCAAGATCTAAAAGAAGAATAAATTGAGGCTGATGGTCATGAGAAGACAGGCTGGCTATACCAAGAAAGAGATACCATTTTATTGGGTTGTCGGAAAAGTCATGACTTATTTTTTCTGTTTTTCATTGCAAAAATGCATCATGACTTTTCTGACAACCTAATAGTTAAAACTTATATTCATATGCTATGGATGATAATAGCTTTAATAGAAACCCTCCCAGAAATTACCCATCCTAAAGAGGCATTTGGAGAAAAATTAAGTTTATGGTTCCTCCCCTAGCACACAGCCAATCTATGATCTACATAAAATAAATTGTAACGCTTAGTGTATAATATAATGGTATGTTGAAATGTATTGTGATAAGTGTAAACAAAAGTGTCAAATCCATTCAGTAGAAAATTGAGTGGAAAGAACTTTTAGTTTTTCTGTTAAATTATCCTAGGACAAAGTAGACCCTAACTGGAAATTTAAAATGTGTTATGTAATGAGGACTATCGAGCTGGTCCTCAGGGAGTCTGAAATGTATTGAGAGATGAATAAGTAAGCAGACAACTACAATTCAATGTATAAAGTGTTATGATAGTAGTAAGTGTAGGAATCACATAAAGTGGGCACCTAATTCCAGACTAAAGTGGGATCATTACTTTCTATGATAAAAACCTTCAGACTTTTAGCCTAGTGCTGCACATATGGTAGGCATTCAAATAGTTGATGAATTAAAACATACCTGATTTTTTTAAAAGCAAAAACGTGGACTTAATTTTTGCTTAGAAAAATGTCTTTAAACTTTGTATCAAAATGTTTTTATGAATACTTTTCATGTTGCTATAGTGATTTCAGTGACTGTGTATATTAATCAGTATTTACAGCTAACTCTTGAATGTAACTGGAAGTAGACAACAGGAAAGACTTTATGCTTTAGGAAGAGCTATCTATGTCCCACAGTGCTGGACACATAATAAATGTCCAAAAATAATTAGTTTTTTAAAGCTTCAGAATTTATCTACACACACCATCAAACTCTTTAAAGGAATTTCTTATTCTTAATTATTAAGATTAATTGTGAATGATAATAGAGAACATGAAAAGTATGACTTTTGTGCAATAATAAACCCCATGTTAGCCAGTGAGAACTCTGAACAAGTAAATGGAAGTCACATCCTTGGCACATATGAAAAAATGGCATACAAACCTTATATGGTATATTAGGGACACTTTATATATGATTGGAGTTAAACTAATGCCTGTGAAAAATTACATGTCAATGCTAAATTCTGTGTTAGTGACTGTAAATACAGTATAAGTTCATTGATTGATTCAATAAATATTAGGCTCCAACTTTATGATACATACTATACTAAGGCCCAGAGATACAGAGATTAAAACTATAGTCTGGGGAAAAGGCAGGAAAACTCGATGGTATAGTGTTATTCAGTGCTACCACAGAAATAGGTACAAAATACTGTTGGTATATAAAGGAAGAGCAGCTAATAGTGCAGAGAACGGAAAAAAATGATATGGCTTACTCATACAGACTTCATTTAAAAAAAAAACAACAAGGGGCCATCCAAGTGGCTCAGTTGGTTAAGAGCGCGAGCTCTGAGCAACAGGGTCGCCGGTTCGATTCCCACTTGGGCCAGTGAGCTGTGCCCAAGCTGAGCTGCCACTGAGCTGCCAACAAGTGGCAGGATGGCTCAGCTGATGAGAGCACGCACTCCTAACAACAAGGTTGCCAGTTCAACTCCTACATGGGATGGGGGGCTGTGCTTCCCCACAACTAAGATTGAACATGGCACCTTGAGCTGAGCAGCCACATGCTGCCGACGGGCGGCCAGATGGCGACTGGACTTGGGAGTTGAGCTAGCTGCCCCCTCCACAACTAAGATTAAAGGACATCAACTTGGCTGTTCCCCATCGCCAATTCCCCAACACTGTTCCCCTTCCCCAATTCCCCAATAAAATCTTAAAAAAAAAAAAAAAAGGCAATGTGATATCATTTTATTGTGACTGTGTCTTACTTCTTACCTGATATATATTTTTAGGAACTTGTATAGTATTTTGCTATTTTGTGAAATGAGATTATAAAACCTAAAGGTTATTTATAAATCATGTATTAGTTGAGCATGCCAAGAGCTCCTATTTTTCATTATACCGTAGTGTACCAATTATAAACTATATTTAAAATCAGGTAGATTTAATTCAGTGAGCAAATAAGATGTCTATGTACAGACCTAACTAATAGGAATAATTAATATGCTTTAAAAATCCAGATTATAAAATTTCTCTTAAATATTAACTAGTTTTGATCAATTTAACAGTCCATTTTCTTTTGTTATTTCTTGTTAAGGGTCTACTGTATTTGCTGGTAACAGACCAGGGGTTTCTTACTGAAGAAAAAGTTGTTTGGGAAAGCCTACACAATGTCGATGGTGATGGAAATTTCTGTGACTCAGAATTTCACCTGAGGCCTCCTTCAGATCCTGAAACTGTATATAGAGGACAACAAGATCAGATAGATCAGGTAAATTTGTTTTGTCTTCTTCATATTGCTTAAAATTCTCATTCCAGGGCCAGCCGAGTGCTCAGTTGGTTAAGAGCTCGCTCAAGAGTTTGAGCTCTGAGCAACAGTGGTTTGATGCCTGGCCTGAGCTGAGCTGCTGCTGAGCTGCCAACAGGTGACAGGATGGCGCAGCTTTAAAAAAAAAAAAAAATTTTCATTCCTTTCAAATATGAATTTAGTCATCCAAAATTTTTGAACTAAAGATTTATTAATATGCTTGTGAAATTTTCCTGACACTTCCTAAATAGGTAAGTGATCATTCTACATGTACATTAATTATACATTTTGGTTCAGAATGCCAGATCATATTGAACTGTGAAGTTCATGGTAAAGAGTTTGAATTTTATTGTAATTATAGTAGGGAAGATATGCCAAGTATATCACATGGAAGTGACGATCTCCTTTATAAAAGGTTGCTAGGTAGAGAACACGTAGGAAGGACACAGGTATTAAGTAGAGACTAGCAGTCCAAGCAAAAGGTGATAATGGCTCAGCCTTGGGTGGTGAACAAGAAGAGATGAGCACATATTTGAAATATATTTTGGCTAATCATAAGAAGTAGAAAAGAGAGAGTCTTAAAGATAGCATGCACTAGGTAAAAAGTAGGTGGATAATCTAAGCCTTAGAGTCCAAAGTAATGAAGAGCAGACACTTACAGCAGGAGCTGCACTAGTAAGTAGAATTCCCATTTAGAATTGAGTCAGATAAGGTTTTTGCCTGCTGTAGGTGAGCAGGCTTGCTGCCACAAATGTGTTTATTACTGGAAGTATAACAGTGATGCTACTTCTTCTCTGAAACAGAAATTTGGTTATATTAGATGGTTGGCACATGTTTTGCTGATAACAATGTAAGTGCATAGAGACTGGGTTCATTTAGCCAGTATTCATTGAGCATTTATATTCCTGGCACTATAACTAGGCCCTGGGGACACAAAGATAAATTATTCAATTTTGTCCTCAAAGATTTTGCAGTCTAGCAGGGGAGGCAGATATTTGACCACCTAATGTTATACATTGTTATAAAATGGCAATTTGAATAGCAAGGTATGAGTATACAGAAGAATACTTGCTTCAAACAAATGTTATTATGTATAGGACTCTTGTTTTCCTTTGACGGTCAATAATAAACGTACTCATTTCCCTTCAGAAGCTATACAAGGGCATTGTTTTTTAAATATTAAGAGAAATGTGCAAGATTTTTCTAACTACTATATGTACAAAATATTGGAGCAGAGAGAATGAAGGTAAAGCAATAGATTGCCACAGTAGGTCCAGTTATAAGGAGTTGAGATCACACGCACACACACACACACACACGATGCCAAAAAAATGTATACACATTTTAAGAAAGGAAAACAATACTAAAATTGTAATAATATACACTGATAACAAAAAATGAATACAAGTCACATTTGACTTCTGCAATTACAAGAGGTGCTTAAAGTGGTTACCATCAGTGTCCAGACATTTCTGATTACAGTGAACTACTGCCTGAGCAATGTTGACCAAAGTGTCCATTTGTACACATTTTCTTGGCACCACTGGTGTGTGTGTGTAACAGTTGATAGTGTCTGTGGAAATAGCAAGGAAGGAGTGGATTTAAGACTATGGAACTTGGCAAAGAATAGAGTTTGAAGAATTGAGGAGAAAATTTGAAGGATCAATTCTTGATATCAGAAAGATAGATATCTTTCTGCTAGATAATACAAAGTCTTCACAAGCAACATACTCTCTTCAGTTCTTTAAAACTCTCTTATTTTAAGGTTGGGGGGAGGTGCACAGAGTAGTCACTTCATTCAGCATTATTCTTAATTAAAGTGGGTGTTAAGTTAGATAATATAACTCTTAACCAAAGATGCATCTTCTTCTGATGGGAAATAATCTGCGTGTGTAGTGGGAGGAGGGAAAGGATGGTTCAGTAATTGAATATGACTGTATGATGGACAACTGTGTTGGCTTTAAAATAATGATTTAAAACAACATTTCATAAATCTTGGAAAATTCTTGCGATATTTGTTAAAAAACAGAAGACTTATAACATTGAAAAAAACATTATGATAGTTTCAGGGGTTGGGGGATTTGTTTGAGTTTGTATATAAATGTAGAAAAAACTAGGTGGATATATATTAATTATAAACAGTAGTTATCTCTGTGTAATAATATGGCAATTTTAACTTTCTTACAGTTTCCTATTTTGCCGTAATTTTCTACAGACATGTTTCTTTTGTAAAGTTTTTGAAGCTTTGTCGAATGCCTTATATACTGTTTCAAGAATTAATTTCAAATGAATTCCAAAAATATTTAGAACAATGACAGCATCACTGAAATAAGTTTATACTCCCAAATAGAAACAACTTAGATAACTTTTGTTTTTATATTTAAATTCTGGTATGTTTTTTAAAAAGCCATTCTCATAGCTTTATAGATAATAACCTCTATATTTATACTGATTAGTTCTTTGGTAAAGTCTCATAGCTAAAGATGGTTATAATTTAATTTCTTAGGACTATCTTATGGCATTATCTCTACAACAAGAACAGCAGAGCCAAGAGATCAACTGGGAACAAATACCTGAAGGAATCAGCGATTTGGAACTGGCAAAGAAACTCCAAGAAGAGGAGGATAGACGGGCTTCTCAATATTATCAGGAACAGGAACAAGTGGCAGCAGCTGCTGCTTCTGCTTCTACACAGGCTGAGGTAAAAACTAGTGTTCTAATTCTAAATACAGAGATCACTTTAACAATACAGAAATTTGCGCTGAGATAAAAAAATTTAAATTAGGTATTGACTCTTCAATTATGTGAGCATTTTAGTACCCATTAGGTTGTATAACATTGTCTGAATTTTGTGATTAATATTTTTCTAATTTAGTGCAGTTATTTTTCCTGAGGTTCTGATGGCAAGATTTTTCAAATTTATTTTTTAGGTTCTTAATACCTGCAAAGAATACAAACCAAATTGAACAGTCTTTTCTGTCGATTAGAGGGGGCAGTATGAGGTGCTACTGGAAGAATGTAGACTTCAAGCCAGATAGACGTGGATTTGCATTTCCTGCTGCAACACCTTAGACAAAGTCCTCTACCTCTCTTAGCCTCATTTTCCCTGTCTGTAAAATAGAAGATAATACTTCGATTAGGTCTTAGGCTTGTGGTTGAGAACAACTAAATCCAATGTCTGACATATATTAAGTATTCAACAAAGGTTAGCACTTTCCCACTTTTTATTTTTCCCAGTTTAATGTTTTAAGCACTGAAAATGTGACTATTAATTGGGTTTCTGTATGTTAAATCTCATTTCATTAAATGAAAAAATATTCCCCTTCTTTTATGTTTAACTGTACCATGCCAGAACTGTTCCTTTGATTTGGGTAGACAAGAAAGCAAGATGCCCATTAAGTTCTGATGAAGCTTTAAATATAGAGGTCTCCATTAAAATAAGTATAACATTTCTATTTCTAGCTTCAATATTGACTACCCCAAGCTTAAAAGTTAAAATGTACCATTTATGACTAGCTTTCCACTAAAAAAAAAGTTCTCTTATTTCACAGAATACACTTATTCCACACTCTCAGTTCTCAGGACTTCTATTTTTCTCCTTTGAAAATCTGTTTATTATAGTATTTAATGCTTAGAGAGCTATTGTAGTTTACCAAATGGTGTCACTTTCATTAACATTTTCTAAACTTTAACATAAATATTTCTCGAATTTGAGGCTTCAAGCAGTATAATCCTACATGACGTTATTTATTTTTTGAAATTCCATTTACTTAGAATAACAGATACATTAATTATATCTGTATTCAGATACCATGTAACTTAACTATACACCAATAGCTCCTTTTACCATTAATGATTCCTTTCACGCTCCTTGGTGTTTCTTTCTAGATAACTATGATTAAGCACCTTAGAAAAGTTGAGGTAATTTCTTCCTGTTTATTTTTCTTAAAGCAAAGCCAGCCAGCACAAGCCTCTCCATCAAGTGGAAGACAATCTGGGAATAGTGAACGTAAACGAAAGGAACCTCGAGAAAAAGATAAAGAAAAAGAAAAGGAAAAAAATAGCTGTGTCATTTTGTAACCAAGTGTTGGATTATATTGGAACCATCTATATGTCTTGAAAAACAAAACCGCAGGAGGAAAGGAAGAAAAAACGATAAATACCGTCTGTGCCTGATTTCCCAATGGATTTTGTTCATGTTTTTCAGGGGAAAGGTTGTTACTTAGTTACAATCAGACTTTTTCAAGTCACACAGTACACTCTTTATGAGCTGGAGGTTCATGTTACAAGTTGGAAATGCTGTGTTGTCATTCATGAAAAATACTGTACTTGTAGCCAAATAAGCAAATCACAGCAAATTTTGTGTCACAGTGACATTCATAACTCATATCAGTTAGTAAGCTATTTTATCTTCTGTTCTAACAATGAATGGAGGTAATTGATTTTGTGTGATTCCTTCCCGAAATCTAAACATTAGCACAATAGTTTCTGAAATTAATTTTTACAATGTTAAATTATGATATAATCCACAAGAAACCAGGGGTTTAATATAGGGGTTTAAAAAGCAAAAAATAATTTAAAAAATAACAGGAATAAATAACTCTTAATTGTATATTGGACTAGTTCAGCCCTTGAACAGCTTTACCTTTCTTTAGGAATGTACATTTTAGATATTATCTTGAGAATTGATAATGGAGGTTAGATTTAATTTAGATAGAAAAAATAAAGATTTGTATTTCTTTTCCAATAGCAAAAAAATTACATAACACTAATATTCATATCCTATCAAAATCAGATATTATTGACTTTGTAGTATGACATTTTGATGAATTTTGAAATCTTTAATATAGGCAACTTGGACCACAGTTACTATTTATTGACAGTGTAATAAGTGAGAGTAAGAAGGAATCCACAGTGGATGCTAGGCTTTGTAAATATGGGGATGTAGAAAAGCAAATAGTTCAGTGTCTACCTTTTTCTATAATTACCTTGAACCTTAAAATTTAAATCATGTTTATTTGCTAGAAAATTAAGTATACTTATTAAAACCAACAAAAAAGCACATTTCTGAAAGTTAGACATAGATAATCTCTGAGTCTCGTAAGAAAGCATTAATAAAAATCTGTTGGAGGGATTTATGTAAAAGCAATCAGATTTTTTTAACTTATGGGAACCAAATAAACCTATAACATCTTGTAGTGTTTGTAGGATTCAGAAAGAATATTTATTGAACTTTATTATGAGACAACATGTATTTTCCTGTATTTCTAGATATAGTTTGGAAAACTATCCTTAATAGTCCTTTTTATATGCTTTATATTTAAATGTTTGTTTTAGTCATTTTTGAAATGACTGTTGCTGCTGCAAGTAGTTATATGATTTACATTCTAAACCTCAGTAATACTATTTGTTGGTTTAAGAGCGTATTATTCTAACCTGAGCATCCACTTGGAGTTTTTTGTGGTCTGGGGTGACAAGAGACTACAAAAAAATGTGGTCTAGAGTTCTTAAGCTATGTCCTTAACATTCTCCGTGATCCAAGACCAGTTATAGGATTAGTCTATATGTAAAAAGTAAAGTTTTATTTATGGAAGGAATTATTCTAAGGGGAAAATCCAGGGTCAAGCTGTATCTTTTATGTCCTTCTGTATTGCATGTCTGTTTATATTATATCATGTGTTAGTCCTTCAAATTTACTATGCTAGCATGATAAATCATCAGAGAACCTGCTTGGGGTATAAAACTTTAACACAAAATATTTGGTGAGTCTCTTGATTACCCAGAATATGCATATATTGGTAAAGTAATCGTATGTACCACACAATTCTCTGTTGGCTCAAACAAGTTGACCTGAGTCCAAGTTTACTTGATATCACTCTGTTGGTTAAAGGAGAAAACTCAAACCTCAGGGTTTGTTTTTCCCAGAACAAATAACAGTGACAGTGCATATTTTAATAAGAAAAAAACAAAACAAGAAATCCTGAGAAATTTTAAACAGCATATTTGAGGCATATTTTTCCATAATTATATACTTATCTATTTATTGCCCTTGAAAATATATGTGTAGAAGTGATTCTTCTGTTAATTTGCTACTGTCTTCTGATTTTGTTCCAAAGATAACACTGCCATTCTCCATTACCCCTAGAAGAAAACAGCTCACTCAAAAGCAGCAGTGCTGCTATCAGATAAGTAGCTGTCAATGTACACTTACAAGAAGTAACTATAAAATGTAATGTGTTTGTTAATTCAGCCTTTTTCTATGTAATATTTCCAAGTCCGACTTTCTTACATTCCTGGAATTGTTTGATATACCAAGAGTAATAATGATAAAATGTTTGCTTTGATTACTGTGGGGAAAAAAATTAAATGTTCAATTCTATTAAAACAAACAAATACAGAAATACTGGTTTCCCATCCTTGAAGGTTATAAAGAATTTAGAGCTATTGTGTCTTTATTTTCTTATATTTTATTCAAGGCAACAAATTATATATGCAGACATTTCATTGCTGGATTTGGTACATTGGAATTTGACAGTGGTATTCAAGTCTCTCCTTCACAGTATTTTGTAATACTTGAAAACTGTTACATGGACACTGCTGGCAGAAGTTAGAACTCAAACATTTTTGTTTTTAATATTTATAGGTTAGATTGGGGCACATTTGCATCAACCAGTTACCATTAGAGCTAGCTAGCAAAAGAGGCACATGAATAAATGATATGATCACTGCTTTACAACCTGTTCCTTAAGGTTAGTGACCAGTCTTTATTAACAATATGAAAATTTTCTTCATCTCTAATCCCATTGAATCAACAATGCTGTGATTTACAGTAGGTTATCAACTCTTAAAAGTAGTGTGTTTCTAAAGCAAGGATCCGTGACTTCTATTAGATTGTCAAAGGAATCTGGGAATTTCCCCTCAAATTTAATAATCACCATTTTAAGAATATACACACTAAGCAGTTTGAGGCAGCTAAAATTGGCAGTGGCTGCTTCCTATAATATGCTGGTCCACTGTGCTTAGATAAAGTAACTTCTTCATATTTCAAGGTGTCAGGTTAGTAGTTGAATGAGGCATAGATTTAAATTTAGGGTTAGGTTTTAGAATATGTTTTGTTTTATTGTCTCACATTTCTAGTATTTGACTATATCTTACTGTCGTTTCGAAGACTTCTTCATACTTCTTAATTTTATTTTAAGCAAGTTAGTATCAAATTAGTTGACTGAAACCAACATTAACCATTTTGTACTTGCACAAAAACTTAACATTTTGTTTTCAATGAATCACCAACTCAATTCACTAAGATCTTGAGAGGAAAGGATTAGAAGTCAAATAGATAGCTAAGAAAAGAATTATTGTGGTCCTATATTAATATAGGCATATGAAGCAGAAAAATCAAGGCACAAATTTCCAGAACTGTCCTCTATCATTTATTTTTAAAAATGTTTTTGAAAGCAAAAAGCAAACTGATCACATTTCACTTAATTTTCCTATTCAATGTACCAGTTTTTTTGTTTTGTTTTTTTAAAGTTGCAGGAAAGGAGTTTATTAGAAGTAAAAATTCATTTCAAAGAAGCAGAAGCAGGCCCGAGCAGTAGAGAATGGCTCAAGGGCCATTATTGGAAAAGAAAGTACACTCCAAAGAGTTTGGAGCGGGCCGAGCAGAGGCAAGGCTCAAAATGCTCAAAAGTCCTGTACCAGTTATTTTAAATGATGGAAAGCTTATGGGCTTTACCTATCATATGATACTTTAGTATACAACTTAAACTATGATTGTAAACTTACTAATGTTAGCTAAAGTAAGAGGCATTAAAGATAGTATATAATTTCTATTTTAAGGAACTAGAAATGTGGAATTCTGAATCATTTCATGTCTAAAATCCTGGTTTTTATCTTGCCATGGGCAAACTTTCTGTGCCTCAATTTACTCTAAATTTGTAAATGATGCTTACTTTTTAGTGCTTTGCACTCCTGAATAAAGGGTATAGTATAAGCACAGAGTATTACTAAAACAATTGTAAATAATACAGATCTTTTGTTCTTGAATATGCAGGGTTTTCCTCCAATGACAGTATTTATTAAGCCAGTTTTTTAATGCTGTCAAAATTTGTAGAATTATCTTTGAGTACAGCATCATTTCTTCCCAAAATGTATTTTACAGTTGCTTTTGTGTTCTGCAGACTATAGGGTCAAAATCAAGAGTATGTTGGGAGAATAAAAATCATTATAAATTTATTGTTTCCAATATCTTTCATATATCTAAATATTTAGATTCTCTTTGCTTTTCCTCCATTGAACAAAGTACAAAGGTATCAGGTTACTAAGATCATATATGTAAACTATTGCATGGATAGAATTCATTTAGATTTCTCAATTACTGTCATTTTTAGGGCTACTTAAATTATTTTTTAGTATAAAATATTTGATAATGTGCAGTTAAATCCCTTTTAAAAAGTAATTGACAATGGTAAAGGAACTCATCACAATCAGAGTTCTTAGGTTCTCTGGTAATTTAGTGTCTTTTATTTTTTTACTGTCTAGTACTTGTCTAATACTTCTGAAGCTCTTGGGAAAACATGAACTGAGGTTACTCTTGTCAGGTGACACTGTAAAACAAACTAAAATTTAAAATCGAAGTCTTCCTGCACAAAATAAATTGCAAAATAGAGATAAGGGAGTCTGAGTCACAAATTGCAGGGCCCTGATAAATTTTACTTACTTTGAAGATCTATCTAAATTTCAATTTGGGCATGTATCTTACTTAATCCTGGTGTTTCTGCTGTTAAGAAATTAAAGTTTAATAAATTGTGATTATATATATATGTATATATACACTTTTTTTTTACATTAAAAATTCTAGTTTCTAATTTCACTTCTGATCACAAAAACATTAAACTCAAAAACAAGGTAAAAGTCTTCAATTACTGCCTCAAATTCACCTTCAATCCTGTTGTCCTAAGGAGATTTAGACTTATCTGCCTATAACATGTTTTTTAGGGCATGGTACTATTAGGACATGGTACATAATATCTTAGATAAGGTGTTGAAATACCATGACAGAAATACAAAACCTAACTTTAAACCACAGTATATTAAAGAACTAAAAGTTGTATTACTTGTCTATAAATCTTTACTTCGTCTGATACTAATTCTAACAATTTTTTCAAATCAGTTGTCACCATTAACTTTAAAAGCTTTGCATCCAACCTCACTGTAATACCCCTCCTTTGAGAGGCAGGGATGCCTCCTAGATTTGGAGAATGCATAAAGCAAAATTCTGAAGGTGATCCTGGCTTGGCTTTATAGTTATGGCTTCAAATAAGAAGTCAGAGAACTGAAATGCCAATTTAAATTCCCAAATCAGCGACCTATCCAAATGGGAGTTATAACAAACACCCAACAGACTGCTTCTAATTAATGGGATGTGTTTAAGATTGACACTTAATCTCTAAAAAGGTGTTCTGTGTATCAATTTTTGTCAGGTTTTTTTGTTCTTTTTTACATCTTGTGTGAAATAACCATTTTTTTCCAGAGTACATACAATATCTAAGCTTTACAGATTTTTAAAGATGATTTAAAAAGCTTCCAGTGGTTTGTTATTATAAAAGTTTATCTTCCTCAATAAAACAACTGTTTTCACAGATCCACACACAAGTAGGACAATATGATAGAAGACTGATACATGATTGTTACATAACAACAGTCAGTAAAGGATAACCTTCACTGGTGAAACTTCAGAGGAACTCTGAAAGTAATTTTCTAAAGTTAGTGCATGTGAGACTTTTTCCTTGAATTGTGCAGAATAATTGGATGGTGGCACATATTTTGTGGAATAGCAGGTGAAATGTTGTAGACTGCAGAGAAAGTGATCTTGAAATAAAGCAAAAAAAAGAAACAAGTCTTCTTCGTCTACTGTTGGACTATTTGGGTCCAGAAGTTGCTATGACATATCAGAGGTCTCTGTGCCAGGCTAAGGATTGGCCAACTGAAAAAGAGTTCTCAAAGAGTTTAAACATATAGAATGTGTATGAGTACCTGTTTTTCTCCTTTCTTTTACTATCTGAATGCCCTTCCTACTTCTGAAATAATTTATCTGTTTTGCTTTACGGCCAGCTTTTAATTCCAGATTAAGAATAATAGCTATCCTAGAGATTGCTAGGAAAGAGCATTGTAATACATTTTTCAAATAAAGACACCTTAAAGCATCTATGCCGCTTAGGGTTGAGCTGAATTTCTATGAAAGAAAGTTATTGTCTTAAATGCTAATTATGCTCAAACTATTTCATTCTAAAAACTATGTCTTAAATAACTTTCAAAATTTCACTTAAAAAGATATACTTAACATAGATTGGCAAGTATTAAATATTTCTGACAGAATTATTCAGTATTATTCAACATTTAATTTTATGTTTGTTACTGTGCCACAAGGATGGTGTTAATTCTTGAATTAAAATATTTGGATTTCTTGTAATATACTTAAAACTGTAACCAATGATAACACCCTTAGTATTTTTTATTATAGATTATATTTTATTTCAATAAACTTTGTATTTAGACCAAACAGTCTTTCTGCTATGTATATTCACCTCATCAAGCTACTTCTTACAAATTTAAAATGAGTGGGGAAATGGGGAATTGACATGGTGATTCAAATTTAGGAAGGATTAACTCTTAGAATACTGGGACCAACTCTTGATAAAGACAGATTTCCCTCACCCCAGGCACTAAGTAAAGAAAATTAACTCTAAACCCTGCACTAGTTAAGACCTGACTCCAAAGGTAGATTTTGTTATATCTGTTACTTCTATCCTCTTAGAGGACTTAACTTAGAGCAGAGAAGGGATCATTGTCTCTTAACACCAAACCAACCCTAATATAAAGTTTTTGTCCAACAATTTAATGCCCAAACGAACTAATGTCTGACATTTCTCTGTGGAAGCTTTTTTAGACTCCGCAGCCCTTTAAGCCAGTGGTTCTCAACCTACCTAATGCCGTGACCCCTTAATACAGTTCCTCATGCTGTGGTGACCCCCAACCATAAAATTATTTTCGTTGCTATTCTATAACTGTAATTTTGCTACTGTTATGAATCATAATGTAAATATCTTTTTGTTTTCCAATGGTCTTAGGCGACCCCTGTGAAAGGGTCGTTCGACTCCCAAAGGGGTCGCGACCCACAGGCTGAGAACCGAGGCTCTAAGCAGAATGAATCATTCCAGTGTGTTTTGCTGACCACCCCTCATTGTAGCACTTAAGCTAGAATGTGAGCCTTTTAAGGACAGAGATCACGTGTTATTCATCTTGACTTTTTTTGGCACATTACATAATTATTGGTACTTTAAATGAACTCGAATATCTGTTTACATGAATTGTTTTAAAATACCTATATTATGCAATTATTGCTTAACTGTGCTTTAAAATGAGTTGGGTT